ATCGATATATAAATTCTTCGCTTCAGTAGATGATTTTTTTTGGTGTTTTTATGCATATGTGTAATAATGCTTCACTAAAGAAAACAAGATGTGTTTGTGAAACACTGATGCCCCCACATGGCAGCTCATGGCGAAGGTTCAAGTTTCTCAGATGCAAGTCAAACTCCAAGGTAAAGATCAAGAGATCGAAATAGTTGGTACCCAAAGCATTTGTTTCTGTGTAATTTTTTGGATTCCTTCTGTTAAGTATTGGTGTCCGCACTTTTAATAATTAAATTAATTATTCAGACATACCAATGGCTATATAATTATTCCTATTTAGACACACCAATGACTTTATAATTATTCCTATTTAGACACACCGATGACTATATAATTATTCCTATTTAGACAGACCAATGACTATAATAATTATTCCTATTTAGACACTCCAATGACTATATAATTATTCCTATTTAAACACACCGATGTATATATAATTATTCCTTTTTAGACACACAAATGACTATATAATTATTCCTATTTTGACACACCAATGACTGTATAATTATTCCTATTTAGACACACCAATGACTATATAATTATTCCTATTTAGACACACCAATGACTATATAAATAGAGGATATTCAATATTTTGTAGTTGGATATGGAATTTATTTCACGAGTGGGATGTGATTTTTTGATATTTCCCACGAGTGCGAAGCACGAGAAAAAATACGGTTTCATAAGTGAAATGAATTCCAAATCAAACTACAAAACATTACATTTTTTGTTTCTTACATTTTCTTTGATTTTCTCTTTGCCTCCGCCTTTTCTTAGCACAGTGTCATAGGCTGTGACGTCATAGTTGAGAGGTTGAGACGTCATAGCTTAGCAATATTGCGAGATTGAAAACATTGTAACATGGATTTTAGCAACATATTTGAGAAGAAATTTTGGCGGTTTTAGTCTCTGGCAAGAAGGTTTACTTACTATCTCTACCTTATGACAGACCAGAAATTATTTTTTACTTTCTTTGATATCCTTTCACACTGTGAGAGAATATCACTTTGGTATCCTTTCACACTGTGAGAGAATATATCAGGTTTATTCAATAAATAAATCACAGTATTTCACTTTTGAAAATGTAATAATTATTCCTATTTAGACACACCAATGACTATATAATTATTCCTATTTAGACACACCAATGACTGTATAATTATTCCTATTTAAACACACCAATGACTTTATAATAATTCCTATTTAGACACACGAATGAGTAAATAATTATTCCTATTTAGACACACCAATGACTATATAATTATTCCTATTTAGACACACCAATGACTGTATAATTATTCCTATTTAAACACTCCAATGACTATATAATTATTCCTATTTAGACATAGTAATGACTATATAATTATTCCTATTTAGACACTCCAATGACTATATAATTATTTCTATTTCTCCTAAAATGGTATCCTAGCGAACAACACCTTAACCCAAGTCATTTCAAAACTACATTGCCAGTGTATAGATGTTTTATGTAAAATTCCCTCTTGAAAATTTTCTACAAAGAGAATCACAACTTGAAAATTGTTTTACGAGGGTCTTTCAATAAAAACTGCAACAAACAGTATGTCAAAGTAAATGTAGATCTATTTAAATTTATTTTTTCACAGTTGAAACGTTTTGTTAAAGAGCTCCTAATCACAGAAAACCCCTTGATTTTTCCTATTGTCCTCGCAAAGAAATTCACTTTTAAAGTATACATGGTCAGTATACTGAGCTGAAAAATGTTGAAAATGATCTCTGCCAAGAAGATGAAAATGAGAGCGTATGTGAAAAGTGTGCTTCTTTACATAAAGAGCTCATAATAATGATATGATATTTATATGTGGAAAGAATAGTCTTTAACGCTGTACAGTTTTCAGATTGATTCAGAAATTCAAAAGTAAAAAAGGAGAGTTCAAATATATAAGTGTAACTGGTCGATTGCAATTTGTAGGAGCAAGAAAAATTAACTGTGCTATGTACAACATGATACCTGAAAATGTCAGATTTACATTCAAATACATTGCTAGAACACTCAGCATTTCATCGTCATAACATTTTATAGAATTCTAACAAAGAAAATGAATATTATAATATTTTTATCAGATTGGTGCCTTATTTTCATAAAATTACCTAAGAGAAAAAAACGCATTAAATGTGCCAACGATCTATTTAAAAACAAATATTTTAACAAAATATAAAATTTGTTAAATTTGCATGATGAATGACGAAACATGGGTGCACTTTTTAATGGCCGAAAAGGAAAATCAATAATAAAATGTGGAATCAAAGAAAAAACTATCCTTCTTATCATTTTAGAAACAAACAAGGGCTCCAAGCATGTTTTATTAGTTTTCATTTTCTTCAAGAGGTCCAGTAAAACATGTACATACCCCCAAAGGAAGGACCATCAATGGTAACGTTTATGTTCAAATTGCACTGAGGAAAGGTAAACAGATTTCCTGCAAAGGAAGTCCAAATACTGCCCCCAGTGTAATTTTCTTGCACCTGGCAACGCTGTTGCAAATAAGCACAGAGAAATAAATGAAATTCTGAAGAAAAGAAAGTTTATAGAGCTTTGCCATCCCCCATATTCGCTAGATCTCAGCCATTTTGAGATCTTTTTTTTATTCCAAACAACGCATGAAAACAATCAAAGGAAGATTGTACAATATTAGATATGTCATGGAAAGTGATTTTCTTCAGTGTCTTTAGGGTATCCCTAAAGATGGGTATGCTGAAGTTTTCTGGTCATGGGTACAAAGACCTAAGGCATATGTAAAGGATAACGGGGGATGCTTTGAGGGATTGAAAATGTTTAGAATATGTATTACGTACTTTTCTTACTTTTAGATGACCTATTGCATTATTTATTGAACGACCCTCGTATTTATGTAGAGTCGTTTCTCGGGACAGTTTTCATTCTTATCTTTTGGGGATCTCTTTTCTATATAAGAGAATCTTTAGGGTTTGTCTTCGTTATGTATACAAAAAAACCCATATTGCTGGGAATTTTTTTTCTATATCAAAAATCATCTGTGGGAGAACTGTTTTCCATGTAAAGAATTATTTCTCAGGCGCTTGTCTTCTGTATAGGTATCAACCACCCCCTTCCTCGCTTCCCTTCTCTCTCTGGGTATTTTCAAGTTTTTAAAATTAAAATTTCTTGCTTGGTTTTGAATTCGTTATTTATTGAGTATTTATTAAAAATCATTAATTATAGTATTTATGTTAATTCATTACAGTGTTTATCTTAAGATTTAATTCTGCCATGGTAAAAATAGCGGAAATAACATTGTAGCAAAAATACTACGTACATCAGTAATTTACTTGGGCAGAAGTGGGGGGGGGGGGGTATTGTAAATATCCCTGGTAAAAGCTTTTTTTCAGGCAGCAGATTTCTAAGCCATTATATCGACTTTTGTATGAAACATTTCATACTTATTTCTTTTGAAATTGATCTCTACCAGTCAAATCCTAATTATGAAAAAAACTGAAATACCTTTAGTTCTAAAACATACATTCGGAACTCATTTTATCATTAGAAGTTTTATAATCAACTATAGGTGCAATGTCACAAGTGAATACTAATGGAATGACTACATGTAAAAAAAAAACAAAACAAAACAAAACAAACAAACAAACCTTGTAAATCCAAGATCATAATCACTGTATTTCTAGCACACGTAAATCATTAGATGATTTTTGCTGTGGCCTACATTTCAATAAATCGACGAAGTATTTTCAATTAACAATAAAAACTAGTACTTCCATTCATATGTCGGCTCGATTATCCCAGTGAGCTTGAAATAAAAGATACCACTGAGTCTGACACATCTGTTTCAAATCTAGATATTTGCTAGAAAAAGATGTTAATGGTAACCTAAAAACAAAGCTTTATGGTAAACGTAATGACTTCAACTTTTCAATCGTCAACTTCCCTTACTTATGTAGCAATATACCCTTATCACCTACACATGGGGTTCGTGTCTCTCAGTTGATTCGATACGCAAGAGCATGCTCTACGTATGAACAATTTCTAAAACGAGGTAAGCTATTGAAGAACAAGTTAACGAAACAAGGATATCAACAGTCTCGTTTGAAGTCATCATTTCGCAAGTTTTATGGTCGATACATTAATCTTGTCAGAACATTAACCTATCATTGAGTCAAATGCTGACAGACTTTTTTCATACTAATTGTTAGACCATTATTTATACACTGAACTGTCTACGGATTTTTCCGGTTTTTTTCCCGATCTTGACAAGGAGCATACGGTGGGTGTGACCGGTCGGCAGGGATGCTCACTCCTCCATGGCACCTGATCCTACCTCTAAATTTTGAGGTCTGTGTTTGCTCTGCTCCAAATTTGTATCGTTCCATTGGACTTTCGAGTTTGAATAATTGAAATACTGTAAACAGCTTTTCAATTAAAATGAAATTGGTTCTTAAAACAAAAAACCTTGTAATCCATTCAAGGAATGTTACCTTCCGTGTTTATTCATGGAAATGTGAAAAATTTGATCATTTTCGAGCTCTGGGACAGAACACGACATAGCCGATCATATGCTACATCTCAAAATGTAAGAGTTCCAAAAACAAGCTTAATTTTTGGACTACACTTTTTTAGGCCACTGGCCTGGAGACCCCTGGGAGGAAAAAGCAAAGTTTCAAAACCATACTGTCCTTTTCATAAGAACAGGCCTTTTATACGCAAAATTCTAAAGATACCTCTAAAAAGTAGGAAGAGAAGTGATAAATGAATTGTGTGATGGTCGGATATACTACATGAATATAATCGAACTTTCTTAAGTACCTGCGAGCATTATGAATCAAAATTGTCGCAGGACTATTCCACTTATTATTCCTTGACAATTAAATAAAACAATGATGCATAACCTATAAATATTAAATCGAAAACGTTATGAAAACTATCATTTTATTAATCATTAAAGCTCTCATTTGATCATTGATCGAACAAATCAAACATTTAAACATTCATTTATCTTCAGACTAAATACATAAACAGAGAGATTTTGTGTAAAAATTATTTGCAGTGTTTTGCTGAGTACGTTCTGTATTTCACTCTACGTAACAAGAATTAAGTTGCAGCTCTAGGAATTTGTCTGAACAATGAACAATTAATGTCCAGTTTAAGCTGTTGAAGTTCCAACTACAATGAAGAAAACACAAAAATTAAATACAAAATGATACAAGGGTTGGAAGAAGTTTAAAAAATGGTTAACCCTTCTTCACATAAATATGAGAAATGCTTTTAATTCTTGAAAATATTTCCAAAATAGGTATCAAAATAATTTGATTTATAAAAAGCCAATTTTCTTATGAGAGTTTAATTTATAATTTTGTGAAGTTTGTGTACTAAATGTGGGGGTCGTACCTGGGCAAGGAGAATCAAACAGAGAGATGGAGTCGACAGCAATATCACCCCGGAAGCCTCTTCCTTTAATGCCCTCAAAGCTTACCTGGCAAAAAGATGTAATAACAACATGCTTGAAAAATTCTATTTTACATTAAACGTCAAGAAGACTTCGCAATTTCCTTTTAGAATTTAAATCCAAAACATGACGTTTGTTCATAGTTGTGAATGGAATATGCTCCAAATACATATTGCACATGTATCATAATAAATTATATACCATATAATATCATCTACATTTTACTTTTAAAAAAGAATTCAACAAAAGAGTAGCGATATAAAATCTTTAAGCCGTAGAACTTTAACTCTCTGAAAAAAGTACTGACAGACCGGAGAGCTACCGTGCCATTATAGTTCTAAAAAAAACTGTTTATTTTTTGCGCCCAAAAAGTTTTGCTCGGTTCTATAACATTACATACCCTTAAGTCAGTATAAAAGACAATATCTCACTAAGTCCGTATAAAAGACAACATACCCCTAAGTCAGTATGATAGACAACAAACCCCTAAGTCAGTATAAAAGACAATATACCACAATAAGTCCGTATAAAAGACAGCATTCCCCGAAGTCAGTATGATAGACGACATACCACCAAGTCAGAATAAAAGACAAGTCAGTATACCCTAAGTATACAATATACATAAGTATACACTAAGTCAGTATGATAGACAACACACCTATAAGTCAATATAAAAGACAGCCTACTACTAAGTCAGTATACAAAACAAAATACCCCTAAGTCAGTAAAAAGACAAGATACCACTAACTCAGAATAAAAGACAAGTCAGTATACCCTAAGTATACAATATACATAGGGTATACTGACTTGTCTTTTAAGTATACAATATATATAAGTATACACTGTCATGCAGTATGATAGCAACATACCACTAAGTATAAAAAAGAAGAGGCCCAAGGGCCTTAACGGTCACCTGAGTATAATACAACAATTTGGAGGATCCATAGAGTATAAAATGAACTGAAAGGTGAAGTTTTGTTGCCCAAAAGCAAGAAATATAGGATGATCAGGATCAGCAAAATAATTAGTCTAGCATTCAGTAATAGTTCATAAATTAGGTTCTAATCTGTTCCCCATTTATCACCATCACCATACTGTATATTAACAAACTATCAGTGCTTCTATACTATTTGAATTCCTTGGTAAAAACTCTTACATTGGCCTCTCTTGGTCTTTGATGAACATTTAATAAGACAAGTTATTTTTGTCTCATTTTTATTTATCTATTACTTAAAAGTCTAACTGATCATTAAAACTATGAAAGTACTTTTTGTATTATACAATAAAAATTCTTGCATAATTCTCTTATTCTATTAACCTTTCAAGTACATTATTTACAGGGATTAATTATCAAAAGTAAATTGCAAAGGGGAATAACTCCTCTCCGAAGAATACAAATTAATAGAGCCCTTGCCAGGACCAGAACACATGACCAAATGGTCCAGATGTTCAAAAATCTGGTAAAAAATACCCTTCCTTATTAAAATATTTACTCCTTTTGCCTCTGATATGCCAAGGTGCAGAGAAGATTTTTAAAGAAATAACGCATTTTTACTACAGATTCACTATATTATCAATAGAGGCCCCCTCCCAACCAAGAAACACCAGAGCCTCTGACCCTGGGACCAGAAGTTTGCTCATTATAAGTAATCACTTTGTTTATCTGCTAAGGAGCAGACAGGATTATTAAATAGAATTAATGCATTTTCACTATATTATCAAGAGCCCCACCCTTACGCCAGCACATCTGACCCAGGGCTCATGCAATTCACTACTCTGGAAGAGGCACTCTTGCTCATCATAACTATACACATAGCTTCTTTGCTTTTTAACCAGAGGCAGAAAGGAATATTTTCAAAGAAATTTTGCTTTTTCACTATATAATCAACAGAGCCCCCCCCCCCCTTTTCACCAGAGCCCTTGACCCAGGGGCCATGACATTCACAATTTTGAAAGAAACATCCTTGCATATCATAACAATGTACTTAGTTTGTTTAAATAATACCCAGGGGCAGAGAAAAAGATTTTCAAAGAAATAAATCACCTTCACTATAGGATCTATATAGCCCTGCCCTAGCACCAGAACCCCTGTCCCTGGGGCCATGAATTTCACAATTTTGGAAGAGGCATCCTTGCTTATCATACAAATGTACCAGGTACTTAGTTTGTTTAAATAATACCCAGGAGCAGAGAAGAAGATTTTCAAAGAAATAATGCATTTTCTCTACATAAGAAATAGAGCCCCACCCTAAAACCCAAACCCCTGATCCAAGGGCCATGAAATTCACAACTTTGAAAAAGGCATCATTGCTAATCATAACTATGTATTTAGTTTGTTTAAATAATACCCAGGAGCAGAGAAGAAGATTTTCAAAGAAATAATGCACTTTCACTATATGATCTATATAGCCCCACCCAAACACCAGAACCCCTGACCCTGGGGCCATGTAATTCACAATTTTGGGAGAGGCACTCTTGCTAATCATAACTTCGTACTTAGTTAGTTTATTTAATACCCAGGAGCAGATAAGAAGATTTTCAAAGAAATAATGCATTTTCACTATATAATCAATAGAACCCCGCCCTTACACCAGAACCCCTGACCCTGGGGCCATGAAATTCACAATTTTGGATAAAGCACTCTTGCTCTTTATAACTATGTATTTACTTAGTTTATCTAATACCCAGGAGCAGAGAAGAAGATTTTCAAAGATATAATGCATTTTCACTATATGATCTATATAGCCCCACCCTAGCACCAGAACTCCTGACCCATGAATTTCAAAATTTTGGTAGAGAGCTCAATGCTTATAACAATCATGCCAACAGTTTGACTGGTTGATGTCCAGGAGTATAGAAGGATATTTTTAAAGATTGCATTAATTTTGGTGGTTTTAGTAGGGACCATGAAATTCATAATTTTTGTTCTTCTTCACCCATAGATGCTATATGCTAAATTTGGTTGAAATTGGTTGAGAGGTTTCAGAAAAGAAGCTGAAAATGCTCCAATGTGAACGTACATCGCACGACGCACGTCGCACGACGACGGACAAAAACGGATAGCAATAGGCCACCTGAGTGACTCAGGTGACCTAAAAAATAAGCGAGTATACACTAAGTCAGTATGATAGACAACACACCTCTAAGTCCATATAAAAGACAGCCTACCACTAAGTCAGTATATAAAACAGCATACCCCTAAGTCAGTATAAAGACAAGATACCACCAACTCAGAATGAAAGACAACATACCACCAAGTCAGTCGCTGCTGGGATGTCAACTTCTACAGGAGTCCATACATCTCCCTGATTCCCCGAGAGGCTCCAGACCTCATCCTCAGAGCCACGTTCTCCAGCCCTCACCCGAAGTTTCCTTATGTTGGCACCATTCATGTTGTAGAAGAATTTTAGACAACGATCTCCTCCTCAAAAAGAAATTTTAATATAGCATGCTTTCATTAATCATTAGAATATTAAAAAACACTTCATGATACATAAATCTTGGTGTAGTTTGTCTTTTAGTGTTATATCGTAAAAAGTTGGCTCTTACTCTTACTGATAAATATACGTAAACAAGAGTCGCCCGCGTGGAGCATGGTTAAAGCGTTCGCTCTAGAGTCGCGGAGTAAGGGGTTAATCCTTACGTCGCGGGTTCGAATCCCACTGTGGGACGTGGAAACCAGTCCTTCGGATGAGACCGTATAAACCGAGGTCTCGTGTCGCAGTAGGTGCTGGCACGAAAAAAGATCCCTCACTGCTCAATGGCCTTGAGTGCCGAGTTTAGGTAAAAAATTTGCAGCTCTCCACCGGCAAGTGGTGACGTCTCCATATGAGTGAAAAATTCTTGAGAGAAACAATAAACAAACGTAAACAAGAGGTCTGAGGGCCTTAACGGCCACCTGAGTATAATACAACATTGTAAAGGATCTATAGCAATTAGGGATGTCAACAAATATTCGACTGTCGTTCGATCATACCGACTATCGACTAAATTTTTTTTAGTTGGTTATTCGTTAAAAATTTGCTACTTAATAGTAATCTTAACTTCAAGGTAAAGAAAAAGTTGGATCTGACTTCATTTATTAACGTATCAGTGTTCAGTGTTCTCGTGAGTAAAACTCAGGGAAAGGCTTAACCGGTCTTCGTTAATTGTTCAAGGGAATTTGCAAACATGCATATTTTAAAGATGTCGGATCCTAAGTGTGAAGTTTTAACATGCAATTCCCTAACATCTCGTATAACGCAGCTGTGAATTAATGAATAATAATTAAACAGCTGTTACATATTTGTTAATACATGTAAACTGGGGGATAGTTATGAGCGTAATTTAAAGGTTTTTCTTTCTGATATTAATATCAATCATTTTAAAATTGTATAGATTGGTAATAGTGTAGATTAAATATTGTACAGGCTAGCAGTCTATTAAAGACAAATAGGAAAAATGGCATGAAAAATCAAATTAAATTTCAACGAGTACTCGACTACCGTTCGACAAAAGCCTCCGACTATTCGACTAAGCTCTCCGAGTAAAATTTACATCCCCAGTAGAAATATAAAATAAAACAAAAATAAACTGATAGACGATCGAAGATACGTTGCCCAAAAGAAGAGAAATCAGATGATCAGGGATCAGCAAAGTAATTAGTTTATTACTCAGTAACAAAAAAGCGGATCTACTTACTTGTCTGTACCTGTCCCCATTTTTCACTATAACCTTTCTGACTAACAAATCAAAAGTGCTTCAGCACTATTAGAATACGAATTGCATTCCCTCTTACATTAGTTTCTCTTGTTCTCTCAATTTCGGAAGAGGCACATATGCTAATCATAACTATGCACTAAGTTTGATTGTTTGCTTAATACCCAGGTATAGAGAAAATTTTAAAAGAATTTATACAGTTTCACTATATGATCATTAGAGCTCTGCCCTAGCCCCAGAACCCTTGACCCTGGGGCTACAATTTTTACAATTTTGGAACCCTTGCTTCATAATCAGAAACCTAGTTTAGTTTCCAAATATACAGGATGAGAGAAGACTATTTCAGTAGTTTATGCATTTTCACTATATAATCAACAGCTCCCTGCCCGTACACCTATGACCCTCGGGTCACAAATGTCACAATTTGGGAGGAGTTACCCTTGCTTTATAATCAGACACTGGTTTAACTTCTAAATAAACAGAGGGAGAGAGGGAGATTTTTAAACCTTGTCCTTTGGAAGAAGCACCTTTGCTCATCATAACCAGGCATCTAGTTTTTCTGCTCAATATACAGGGAGGGAGAAGATTTTTAAAGAATTTATGCATTTTAACTATATGATCATTAGAGCACTGCCTTAACGCCAGAACCCCTGACCCTCGGGCCACAAATTTCACAATTTGTGGAGAGGCACCCTTGCTCATCATCACCATTCATTTGGTTAATCTGCTTAATATTCAGGAGAGAGAAAAAGATTTTAAAAGAATCCATGCATTTCACTATATGATCATTAGAGCCCCGCCAAAACACCCAGAACCCCTGACCCTCGAGCCACAAATTTCACAATTTTTGAAGAGGCACTCTTGCTTATCATAATCATGCACCTAGTAAATTTTCTAAATATACAGGGGAAGAAAAGAAGACTTTTAAAAAAAATATCCATTTTCACTATATGATCATAAGAGCCATAACTTAACTCCAGAACCACTGTCCATGGGGCCATGAATTTCACAATTTCGAAAGAATGCTTATTACAATCATACCAACACTTTGACTGCTAGATGTTCAAAGTAAAGAAGAATATTTTTAAAGATAGCACTAATTTTGATAGTTTTAGTCCTATCCCTCAGGCCCCACGGTACAGAGACCATGAAATTCACAACTTTGGACCCCTTCACCAACTGATGCTATATGCCATAATTGGTTGATTTTGGTTTAGCGGTTCAAGAAAAGAAGCTTCAATAGTTTACAACCGACGCGCGAGCACGACGGACGACGACGGACAAAAACAGATAGCAATAGGTCACCTGAGTGACTCAGATGACCTAAAAATGTATCCTTAAATAAGCTTAAATTATCTGAAAATTTCTAGTTTAAAAAAGGCTAAACAATACAGAATTATAAGAAAATACAACTTCAGGAGGAATTGTTCATCAACGATCGATTTATATATTATGATTCCTTTTCAACCCTTCCGTAGTAAAGCAGTTCGCTAGTGGACCATTCCTTTTCCTGGATAAATATGAAGCAATGAGCCTACCATTTCCAGGAATAGTCAGTGCTTCTGAGGAAAGAATCGCGTTACTGCCAGATCGTCTTCCCGAGGCTTCTATATATGCGTAAGTCCCATCAAACGGATTACTTGGCCCTGTCCCTCTAGATGGGGTGGGTCCCTTTGGAATACAAACAAAACACAGAAAATGAAGCTCATTCGTAAATATCAGAGTGCACTATAATATGAAATTAACTTCTTATAAAACACATAAAACGTATACAGTTGAACTTCAATATCTCGAACACTGATATCATGGATATGTCAAAGTCGTTTGAAAGTCAAAACTTTTTCTCGGTCCCATCGAGTTCGAGATAACGAGGTTTGACTGTATTTTGTATGATATATATTTACATGTATATCCTGGGATTCGTAACACAGGGGACAGTTACATACAATGCTTGATGTTAATTGATCAATATAATACATTTCCAACTGTTTTCCCTTTGATAACTCTTTGAAAGTTATATAAATAGTCGACATTTACAACTGAATGTAAATTTCGCCAAGTGAAGGGTCAAGTGCCTTATATGCATGTCAATTTCCAAGGCTGACCTCGTGTCTGATATTAGTGGGCGGGTACTATTGACATTAACATGGAATTCTTTATGAATTCAATTCATTTTTGATTTATATTTACATTTTTATTTCACGTATAAATGTAATTATAAGGAATAGCCGTCTAGTTTGTTGGGCATATCAGGGAGTCGGACAATAACAAAAGCTGGATAAGTGGAATAATTTCTGCATAACAGGCAATTTGATACATTATACTTTCATGTAAATTACTTGACTTTGATTTGTCGAGAAACATTTGTCCAAAAAAAACCTTTTTCTCTCTGAATGGAGAAACCACGCCCTCCAGTGCAATGGAACATAGCAACAGTCAACATTTCTTGACGACGGGCGATTATCCAATTATATATATATATATATATATATATATATATATATATATATATATATATATATATATATATATATATATATATATATATATAGCGCGGAATCTGTATAATACATTCGGTATAATAAAGTAAATACTGTTTGTAGTTGAGGGTTGCATTAAAAAATTTCACCGAAAACCATTGCCAACATTGGCTGCACCTTGGTTGACAATGGTTGTCTTGGGGTGAAAATTTTCAATGTAACTCTCAATTACATGCAGTATTTATATAATATATAATTATACTGATCAAGTAAAATTAAGCAAAGTACGTTAATGGCCACTGTGATTAAAACTCTATCAGACATCTTTAATTCATTATGTATACCGGTAGTCGTTGGGGCTGAGAAATGGAAATATTGATGTTGAAGATACCAAAGTTTAACAGTATTTTAGATGATGATTCATATTTCGTACGTTGAAATGAACTTGGCTTTAATGACAGAGAGCCAGCGCATGATTGCAATCGCCTTTTTCTTGGCATACGTTTTGTTTAAAAATTTAAGGATTAAAGTCTTTCTTTTTTTCTTTTCTTTTTTTTTAACAATGTATCATTTTCCCTTTCATGATTTAATATCAGTAATTATTTCTTGGTTTAGAGTCTATCATCTTTTCCTCTGTAAATACTCACACTTGTTCTTCTCCAGTTCATTCTATCGACACCTGTGACGTCATTCAAGAAACATGGACCATCGAAAGTGCAGGTGAAGATAATATCAGCTGGAAACAGAAATTGATGAAAACTCGTAGACAAAATTGGAATGAACATTTGTTTTGAGCTAACCTGAGCTGAAAGCTCTTGTGGGCTTTCCTGAACACCCGTTGCCCGGCGTCCGTCAGTCTGTCTGTAAACTTTTCACATTTTCATCTTCTTCTCAAGAATCAATGGTACAATTTTAATCACAAATGGGGATTCTGAATTGTTAAAATGAAGGGCCAAGCCCCCTTAAAAAGGAGAGATAATCAAGAAAAGGCAAAAATAGGGTGGGGCATTAAAAAAGAGTCAATTAGAAAAAAAGAATATTTATAACCAATCCACAGATTATGAAAATTTTATTTAAATATTTAATTTAAAAAAGATAGCTTCGTTTTCTTAATGTAATCAAATACATGTATAACTGATTAGGCCTCCATACCTCAAAACCCTAAATCAATAAATTCATTATAATACTACTGCAATGTATTGATACATATTTCCACCAATAAAGAAAATCAAATAAAAATTGTATATACTTTTATCACAATCTAAAAAAAAATGTAGAGATTCATAAAGCTTGTTTCCTTTATACAATGTATTTCATGTTTGCATATCAACGAATGTATATCATGAATGCTTATTAAATACTGTACCACATTTCCCAGGAATATAATGGATATCATCCAGTGCTATATCGCCTCTATAATTCGCACCTCTTGTACCTTCAAATATAATCTAAAATGGAACAAAAAATAAGTGAAAAAATTAAATCCAGTTAATTTACATCTGATTTCATGTGATCATCTATGCTGTTACATACTGTAAACTATACGTAACTGATAGTAACCTGTAAACCGGAATACAGCTATTTCCACCAGCTGCACCAAAGATATGTCAAATTAATGACCTTTGTAAGTGGACGTATTCTATTAGAAAAATTGTGAATTCTACCTTGAATTCGATGGTTTTTATCAATTAATTTCAGAAACCTTTTTTTTATACTGACACTGTCGTCTTCATTGTGATGAACATCGATTGCCTCCATCTTCCAATCATGCCAGGAACTGCTCTGTTGTCCAATTTTTGAGAAAAGTTCGCTCAAGCCCGCATCAAACTTCTGCATAACTTTCAGTTCACCTATCCCACTTCCAGACATATGGTACCTAAAGATAAGGCACCTGTCTCCAGCTAAAATTAAAATTTAGTAGATGCTTAATTGGTTTCAGACATCCCTGAATAATTTTATTGTTTATTATTTTGTTGTTTTTTTTTCTTTCGGAGCACGCTCCGAGTACGATCAATTTTTAAACCGAGGCTGGCTACTGACCAATAAGTTGATGCTACAGGGATTTCAACAAGCATTTCGCAAATTCTATGGTTGTTATAATGACCTGGCAAGCAAATATAACCTATCATTGGGTCGTTTTTTGGCTGACTTGTTTCATACAAATTGTTAGGCCTTTGTTTTTATACTGAATTTGACTATGGAATGTTTCGTCTACCTGATCAATACATAGTGCTCACGGCGGGTATGACCGTTCAATAGGGATGCTTACTCCTCCTACGCAGCTGATCCAACCTCTGGAATTTCAAGGCGTCCTTGGGTTATGCCCTCTTCACAGATTTGTATTGTTTATAGATTTTTTTAAAGATCGATCACTATTCGTTATCTTCACTTGTTTCATTCAGTATTTTTTGCTGTCCCATGAATTGAACTTATCAACACACACATAAATAGCGATATATATATATATATATATATATATATATATATATATATATATATATATATATATATATATATATATATATATATATATATATATATAAAACATTCATGAATAGCATTTAGGGTCTTGACAAACATATTTCCTAATCCTTTATACTGAAGGAACATTTTTTAATTATATTTTTAATCCAAAGTTGATACCAGAAAGATGCTTGAGTTTCTGATTGACAATATCTATGTAGTTTTTATGAGATCGTCTTCCAACAATTTGTCGGAATTCCCATGCCTACCAATTGCGCCATATTATAAGCAGACCTATTTTCGTATTCATAAGAAGCAGAATTTATTCAAAAACTTCTACATGAAAAGAAGAAGTCTCTTGCTGTGATCTTCAATTCAACATTTAGATATATCTACGACGTTTTATCAATTAACAATATTCATTTTCAGTCTTACGTTGATTTGATATATCCCTCTGAATTCGATATATAAGATACCACAGAGTCTGACACATCTGTTTCATATTTGGATATTTTACTAGAAAAAGTCGTTAATGGTAACATAACAACAAAACTTTATGAAAACAGTGATGACTTCAATTTTTCTATCGTCATCTTCCCTTATTCATGTAGCGTTGTACCCTTTTCACTTGCATGTGGAGTTTATGTCTCCCACTTGATTCGTTTCGCAAGAGCATGATCTGCGTACAAACAGTTTATAAAACGAAGCAAGCTTTTGACAAACAATAATTGATAAAACAAGGATATCAACATTCTTGTTTAAAGTCAACATTTCACAAGTTCTATGGTCGATACAATGACCTGTCAGCATTTAAGTCGAATGCTGACTGGCTTTTTTCATATACTAATTGTAAGGCCATTATTTTCACACAATGTTTAACGGATTTTTCCGTTTGCCCAGTCATCACCATTAGCAAACGGCGGGTGTGACCGGTTGACAGGGTATGCTTAGTCCTCCTTGGCATCTGATGTTTTAGAGGTCTGTTTTTGCTCTGTTCCAAATCTGTGGACTCTTCAGCTTAATTACTTTTCGTTATCTCCATATTTCATTAAGGTTTCTACCTCGGTCTTCATTGATACATACTCAACCATCTATTTCCTTACATGACGTCACAAATCGTATCATTAGAAATAAACTATAAATGATTCATAGGTTCTAGCTAGTTGAAGAAGCGTAATACTTTTTTTCAGAGTTGTTTTCGCCCTGATTTTTTTTTCGTCCTATCCTACTTGCAAACGATATCGCACACTAAGGACAAGAGCGCATGTATACGAGGACAAAAAAAACCTATGTACAATTTTCCTGCATTTTTAATGTGAGAATAACGAACGGTAATTATACTCAAAAGTCCAATTAACATTACAAATTGATTAAATTTAATTTTTACTGATAAAAGGTATTAATTATTTAGAAATTGCTTTCTTTTCCATTTTTTATTTTAAAATTCACTGGATGAATTTCAAGGATATTTTTACAATTCAAACGGAACTGTTGGTCAATTTTTATTGCCTAAATCAAATGATAAAAGTGTATGTATAATGAAAAAAAAATCGTTTCATATCTTCTGTTGACTTAAGATGAGATATTTAGGTGGAAAATGTGTCTCAATATTGTTGAAATATTAGCAAATCCTTTCTGCATGATAGTTTTTTTCTCATAAACAAAATGTTTACTAATCATTTTCAGAAATGTTTAAATAAATAATTCAAAATAGAAAGACGTCCATTTAAACTAAAAAGAACATTTTTCGCAAAACTAAAAACTTTCATGAAGATGCAAATTTTACTCACTTTCAATTTTGTATTTAGTAACCAGTGCAGCCTTTTGCCCTGGTCTACGTCTTGTTGCTTCAGTGTAGGCGTACCTTGAGCCCTGTGTCGCTCTACGGGGACCTGTCCCTCTACTTGGCGTTCGTCCCTACAAACCGAGGACAACTCAATATTCATTTTCTTCAAATTTGAAATAATAAATTTGCTTCACCATATCATAGTTTACTGTTCTATCATAATTATTTTTGACCTTCTCCACAACCCTGTATTTTTGAATAGGACACATATTTTATATATCTCATTAATATCAAGGCAGAAACTGGTTGATTGGTTTAATTACTTACGGATCGAATGGTCCAGTTAAAATTGTCAGATATGTCATCTACTAGGAAACAGTCCACTCCATTTTCAAAAGTACACGCCACAGGCCCCTTAACTAAATAACAGTAACATCAGTGCTTCAAATATTTATATACGTCAGTGGTTTATTCTTTAACTTCCTGTAAAATACCCCAGTTAAGTAGTTTCCCAGTGATATGTTACAACATTCTTTTCATAGACCTTGGTACCTACTGATCGAGATTCATGAGCTCTCGGGCTATGACCATGTCAGTTCCTGATGGAACAGGAACTCATGTGACATGTATTTTCCATTTAATTGTAAATATATTGCAAATGTAGGCTTCTGTATGCTCTATATAGTAATGCATTTTCAGTTAATTATTTACTTAAACTGTGTAATCAGACCTGAAGACGCAAATTAAAAAATATATTGACTGGCTCATCATGGCTTACGAGTACATTTATTATCATCATGGATACAATTTGAAAATTAGATGCTCAGAGGCGAAGACAATTTGAAAAATGAACTGTACAGTGAGTTTTCAACTATTTGACTTAGTACGCTCCACACTGGGGCCCTAAACAGCGGCGAGATATTTTTTATTTATTGTAGGACTAACAAACAGCATACGCAGAGTTGACAGATTCTGAACAGATGTAGTTTTAATTAATTATAATTGATATCTTCGAGGGATGTAAATTATCAAAGTTATACTCACTAATTTCTCCTGGTTGACTAGTTGTTGGCGATGTTGTTGTTGTTGTTGGGTTTGTTGTGGTAGTTGTTGTTGGGTTTGTTGTGGTAGTTGTTGTTGGGTTGGTTGTTGTTGTCGGGTTGGTTGTGGTAGTTGTTGTTGGGTTTGTTGTGGAAGTTGTTGTTGGATTGGTTGTTGTTGTTGTTGGATTGGTCGTTGTTGTTGTGGGGTTGGTTGTCATAGTTGTTGTCGGATTGGTTGTTGTTGTTGTTGGGTTGGTTGTCATAGTTGTTGTCGGATTGGTTGTTGTTGTTGTGGGGTTGGTTGTCATAGTTGTTGTTGTTGGGTTGGTTGTCGTTGTTGGATTGGTTGTCGTTGTTGTTGTTGGATTGGTTGTTGTCGTTGTTGTTGTTGCTGTCGTCGTCGTTGTTGTTGTTGTCGTTGGGTTGGTTGTTGTCATTGCCGTTGTGGTGGGTGTTGGTGAACCTAGATACAATATCATTACATTTAGAATCACAAAGAAAGAAAGAAAACAAGAGGCCACAACGCTCACCTGAGTCATTTTGGCTTTATATCAGCAGATTAAAAAAAAAATCCTCTTTCAATTTCATACAGATTTTGGCACAACCTAACTCCAGTGCTCATAAGTTAAAAAAATCAATCCACACAGCTAATTAAGGCTGTTTTGCTTTTTAATATGAATTAGTGTGTTCCTGTCACTCTTCATAAGATTTCTTCCTTTATACTCTTTTGTAAAAGAATGGTTCCCTAATGTAACCAGCTTCAACCTATTCCTTAGGGCCTTAACCTGAACATTCACGAATTTAAACTAACTGAAGACGCCTGAATATCGATATGACTAAATAATGGCTTCGTTGCTAATTAGAGGACGATTTTTTTAACATTTTCCCAATACATTGCATTTTCTATGTAAACCTTTTAACTCCTATTTTGGCCCCATCATTTCCCAAAATGTCATGATTTGATCAAACTAAAATCAACCTGTGAATACTTCTATACTAATATTATTAATCATGGCCAAGCTGTTTTTCGTCAGATATTTTAAAAGTCTTTTCCCTATACAATACTTTGATCACCTATTGTGGCGCAACCCTACCCTCCTCCCGGGGGCCAATTATTTGAACAAAATTTTATCTACAAAACCTGAGGATGTTTCCATATTAATATGATTAATCATGGCTTTGGTTTTTCTTAAGAAGACTTTGATAGATTTAGGCCATGATTTGAATAACCAAGAATCTGCAGTACTTGATGATGTTTGGATTTTTATATCACTAAATTTGCCCTGTTATTCTTGGGAAGAATTTTTTTTTGAAAGATTTTTACTATATAAACCTATGTAAGACTTTACTCTATTGTTGTCCCACCATACCCCAGGGGGTCACAATTTGAACAAACATGAATCTGCACTACCTGAGAATGTTTGCATATTGATATAAATTATGGCCTTGCTGTTCTCGAGAAGAGTATATTTAAAGATTTTATGATATTTATTCCTCTTTAAAACTATGATCACATATTTTTGCCAACTCTAACCCCCCCCCCCCCCCCAGGGGGGAACTATCTGAACAAATTTGAATCTGTACCACCTGAGTATGCTTGTATATTATTATCAATAATCATGGTCCTGCTGTTCTTGAGAAGAAGTAAAATATTTTTTCCTTTGTAAAACTTTGACCCCCTATTGTGTACCAACCCTACCCCCGGGAGTCATGATTTGATCAAACTTGACTCTGCACTTCCTGAGGATGCTTGCGCAATAATATGATTAATCATGCCCTTGCTGTGCTTAAGAAGATTTTTAATGTTTTTACTATAGATTCCTATTTTAAAATTTTGATTCCTTACCCTCGGAGGTGGGGGTCATAATTTAAAAAAAAAAATTCTACATCATTTCGGGATGCTTTCCTAAAAGTTTTAATTTTTTAGCCCTTTGGTTCTTGAGAGAAACATTTTCAATAGATGCCACGAAATGTTCACGTATTCTTAATTATTTCTCTTTAAAAGAGGACATGCCTCTTCATTTGTACGAACTTGAATCCCCCAAGATGGCAACTTTGTTTGAAATACCCAGTGGTGCTAGAGAAGAAATCGAATATATGAAGTTTACACATGACAAAGAGACAGAAAGATGGACAAGATCAGAAAACACTCTCTTGAGCTTTCAGCTCAAGTGAGCTAAAAACTGCGAAAATCGATTTCTGTTTAGTATAGTCATTCGTATATAAGAACAATATGTACTTACCACATGCAGCCGAAGTTAAGGAAATGTCATCTAGAGCAATATCACTTTGGTAATTACTCCCTCTTATTGCCTCAAAAATGACCTAATGTATTTAGATAGATAAGTCAATTTACTGAACAATCAACATCAATTTCATCCTTGAACAATCCACGTGAAAAATAGAAAAAAAATTGCTAATATATAAATACAAGTTATATGGCAAAATAGAATCATTAATGTTTTAGTGATGAAAGACACATGCACTAAAATAACTTTACTTTGTAATTTGTTGATCCTTGTATGTTGATTTCCGCTCTCTGCCACTGATTCCCCTGATCTCCACTTCTAGTCCACACTGTAGTGCCATCGCGAAGCACGTTAAGGGTTCCCATACCAGAACCATACATATGATACCAGAACACCAGACATCTTGGACCAGCTTGGGTTAAAAAAGATAGAAACAAGATTTAAGCGATTTTATCCTTTAAGTCATATTGAATGCTGTTTTTTGTATTTTTTTAAAACAAATATCGAATACCACTTTAAGTAAAATAATTTAAATATTGCCCATTATCAATTACAGCAGATATTCATCAGGGTTGTAAATAAGGATTGTCTTCAGGTATCGCCGTCATTCATTCATCCCACTTGATATATATAGGGTAACCTGGTATGATAAATTATATTGCCTTACCAGTCAAGAAAGGTGTTTCATAATGAAATGTAGTTCCAGTAGGTACAGGGTATGACATTTCTGTATATAAATAGTTTGATCCGCTCCTTGCTTGAGAAGGACCAGTGCCTCCAGATGGAGTGGAGCCCTGTGCAATGCAAACTCATAATAAGAGAAAGCTAACTATCGATTTGCACCTTTTTTCTAAAAAAAAAAAAAAAAAAATTAGAGAGTCAATCATTGCAGGTATCGATATTTTTTTCAGGTTTGTGATCAACAACTCGTAAGTTCTGTGGTTAGTGCGGTTGTCTTGTTTGCAAGTAAGGTCAGTCTCAGATTCGGCCATTGTTTTTTGTTTGGATGTCTGCGGATTGATTTGTTCCTGGCAGAGAATATTTGCTCCTCCGTGGCACGTGATCCAACCTCTGATCTTTTTCGATGTCTATGTTTGCTCTGCTCACAGTTTGCATCGTTTTATTGGAGTTTAAGCATGACTGCTGTTATCGTTATCTTCAAATTTCAATTTATCATTTAATGATCTAGGTGAGCGATTTTGATATATGCTTAAAGATAAAAGAAGGTCAGCCAGCTATTATCTAGATTCCTGATAAAAACAGTAAAAGTGTGTATGAGATGTTGTACGGAATAAAAAAGATTGAACCAGGGTTTGTAGTCGGCTGTCGCCTGTACCCCAATGGTCAACAGCAAATCCACATCTTTTAAAATCTTTTGTTTGAGAGAACACAAAATCAGTGTGTTTTAGATTAATATTTTAACCAATAACTATATTTGTAGTGATTTACTAGCTTATAAGATTACCAGAACTCAAGATGAATGCATTTCGGCAAATATACGAGTTCAAAGACATCATCAGTGAAAGATATGTGGAGACCCAATTCATCACTATGAAGAAATGCTCCATAAAATAATACAGGTGAAAAATGAATTATACACTACCGATATTATAACCCAGTCGTAAGAGTCAGATTTCAAGTTACTAAAGTCACAAACTTCTCCTTCAAAGTCACAAGAGATATCGCCGGAGCCTGTCAAGGAAATATTTTATTAGTTTTAGCTGAAATATCATACTTCAGAATAATCAAACAAAACATATATTTCAGCTTGTTTTTGATTTTCTAGTAATGGGTAATTTATACAAAATAACTTAATGAAATTATATCTTGAAAATTTTATTGTATGAATTAAGTTATAATCAATATTTATTTTGATACTTGATAGAATAGGTGTCAAGCCTAGTTGACAGTATATCAACAACGATTTCTTTTGAATCGGTATGTTATTTTAGGGGTCAAAAATGTGACCAATGACAAAACAATGGTTTTAATGAAATTAATAAAAGACAATGAATGTAATAAGGCTTCTGACCAGCAAGGGTATCACATAGTTGCCCAGTATATCCGGCAGCACAGGAGCAAGTGAAGTCACTGGATCCGACATCAGTACAAGTCCCAAACACACATGGTGCAGTTTTACAGCCTAAACAGTACACAAAATGACATAAATACATGTTCCAAACACACAGGGTACTGTTTTATAACCTAAACTTTACACAAAAGGACGTCAATACATGTCCAAAACACATAACGTGATGTTTTACAGCCTAAACAGTACATAACACACGAACGACTTCAATATATGTCCCGAACACAGTTGTACACAGTTTTACAGCCTAAACATTACACAAAACGACATAAATACACGTTCCAAACACACAAAGCGCTGTTATACAGCCTTAACATTACATAAAAAACGACGACATCAATACATGTTCCAAACACACAGGGTACTGTTTTACAACCTAAACTTTACACAAAAGGACGTCAATACATGTCCTACACACACAAGGTGCTGTTTTACAGCCTTAATTTCACGAAACGACATCAATACATATCCTAAAAAAACAAAATGCTGTCTCAAAACGACATCAATACATGTTCCAAACACACAAGGTGCTGTGGGTTTTTTTTCAGCCTAAAGATATCAAAGCATTTCTAAGATATATATTATTCAAACATTATATAAATATATGGACATCGGTACAAAACATTTTAGAAATATATATGGTACAAATTAGTGCCTTAAACTTCAAACATTCAATTCCCTCACTTTAATCCATGACGTTAAGAGCAGCATTTTTTTCAGCAAAAACGGTAGTCTTCTATTAGTCTAACTATATCCTGGACCATCATTTCATGGACCTGAAGGCGTCTTGAATCAAAGTTCTCTAGTCAACAAATTTAAAGATTTAAAATTTTTGTTTTCAGTTAACTGTACAAAATAATTTTATGATGTCATCTTATCATGACGCGTTGCCCTTTGTGACATTGACTGAGATCTTAACATAGGATACAACGTAAAAGAGTTTGAATTCATTCTAACCAGATATGTTAAGTCACATCCTTGATAAGGTTTGTGTAAGCATTTGAAACGTTGCAGCCTTGACAAGGTTTTTATTGGGATTTGTGAAATTACAGCCTTGACAGGGCTTATATAGCGAGTTTAACATGGCTAGCACAATCTGCGATTTGACCTCAGATTGAAATAATGAAGCATGTTTTCGTCATGGACATTAACATGAGTAAGTTCTGATCAGTGCTTCCAGGCAGAAATCCTAGCACCACTTCAATGTTTCAATATTTAACATGCCATAGTGATAAACAATGGTTACAGAACACAAAACATCTTGTTTATCGAAAGTATCTGTGTCAAAATTTTAAATCAAATCAACTATCGACGAAATTGACACTGTGTTCTACTTTAAAACAATACGTCTTTCCCCTCTTTATGATATATATTTCATAAATATGATAATACTTGATGTTTTCACTATCAGGTGAAATTAGTCACATGTATATCACCAGTGTCACCATCATATACTGGTGTTCATATTCATATGGAGCATATTTTTCACAAGTTACCTGCACCAACAGAGGACACAGACAGAGAAAAGCCTTTGCCCGGTTGGATATTAGGAGCAAAGGAGCTGTTAAATATCAGTAACATCATGGAGGGGTCCCCATAGTCTGACGTCACATAGGTCTCGTGGGAAAATTTTCCACAGCGTCTGAAACATTAAATGTTTGTGTGAGTACACTTTCGTCATCATCATCATCATGATCATTTTTTTTTTTTGGAAACGGCAGAATGCATTTTAGGTAATTGTATGTATATAGCATAATAAAAATTCTAAGCTGCAAATACATGTAGTTATCTTGGAAATATACTTTTTATTACTATTTTGAAGAAGGATACCTTTGAGATAACATCAGAGATAATGAGAGCAAAAATCAAAAGTTCATAAATTCTTCGGTTATCCTTCAAGTCCTACATGTTAGTATAAAAAATTTTTATACTTTTTTTCTGAACATTGAGGGTTTCTTCCGATGTCATAACTCACTAATGAAATATAACCATTTAGTCAAAAGAAGCTTCATTTTGGGAAATCTTATGGTCCAAATATCCATAGGAGAGGCTAGCTGTAGAAAGCGTTTTGTTCCTTTGGAAAGATTTTTACATAAATATTAATTTTATCGTTGGGCTAAGAGAAAGGTGAAAATGATGAAAGATCTTTTAACATGAATACTTCATTAGTTTCATCTAGCTATTACATAAACGGGACAATTAAATCTTTCATTATAAATGCATGGAATAGAAAGCTAGAAAACAACTGATTTGAATCTTATAAAATATGTTTTTTTTTGCTCAAATTTCTGTTCAATTATTTCTGTCCCATACTTTTTGGTCTAAAATGGCAAAAGTTAAGGAATTGAAAGTGAGTCCTAAGCCTATCCCCATTGTTCCATCAAAGTTTTTTTTTTTCCTTATGCGTATGTGTGTGGGGGGAAGGGGGTCGCTTTCTTTTTTTAATTTCAAATATTCTTCTATATTTCTATTTTCTTACTTTGGACCACCCTGTCCGATTAAATTATACTGGATCTCTAGCCAGTGAGCACAGGCTCCGTCATCTGTGGCTAAATCCATCTCGTCTATCTTCATGGCGACGTTCTTTCCATTGGAAGACTAACGAGTGTAAGAAATAATCATCATTAAACAAAAGAAAAGATAAGATAAAACAAAAAAGAAATTTAGCCAATGGAATGCATGATTGTTTTAAAAAATCAATAAATAAATTATTGGATCCGTATTTTAAATAAGCCATACTTGAAAATGAAATGATATTGCATTGCAAATTAGAAATCTAATAAAGGAAGTAAAAGGATAGAACAAAAAAGCTTTTTCTTTTAGTTTGTTTTGTTTATTTTTCTTTGTTTAAAACTTTTTTTCACTCCGTGAATTGATGTTTACAAATTTCTCTATTAATCCATTTTTTTAACCTTAGGGATATTTCAGTAATAAAGAAATGCATGAAAAATCTGCAAGTGGATCGTTTTATAATTACCTACCTTCACCAGCCAAACACATCGTTTACCGGTGGGATATGGACCTCCAGTATTGAAATTCGGTGTGGTTATGGTCTTGGTTTCTCCATCAGCTAAGTTTATGATACCTGGGCCACATTCTGAAACAAAAAAAAAAACACCTTTGAAGGCGGTATGAAATTTAAATTTGAATCAGTGAATGTAAATTACGATTGATAATTAATGCGTAATTAATTTTAGTAGTTAACCACAACGTATCAGTATACAATCTCTGGATAAAAATGAATCATTTCATTTTTTGCAGTACTTTTGAGGAAAATGCCTTTTTTGAATCATGATTGAAATGTTGTTTATACTTCGAATTTCTGTATTGTTTGAATTGTATTGTTTGAATTTTATTTTTTTTTTAACCGTTTATTTTTCCTTGGCCTGCACGATAGAATAGTATATATGTTTAAAACATCAAATTGAAATCTTTGGCGAATATTAATTATTCTTACATTCGACATAGAGACAATTTATTTATAGTTGAAAAATTAATCAAAATAATGTTTATTATAATTGAAAAATGAAAGTTCTTCTTGCATTACAGTTTTCTTGTACAAAATAGCCTCAAACAACGGTGAAACATTGTAACAATATACTACAATTTGGTCGCAATTTGTATGTTCTAAAGTTGAACACATTGTCCTATAAATACCACAAAACTCTCTCGGGTAAATGTCGCCAAAATTTAGTGATCTACAGTAGCTATTCAGGTTCGGTAAGTATTGATTTCTATTTGATGCTAGTGCCTTAATGAATACAAGACGAAATCTCACTAATTTTTAATATGTTTTTAGAAAGGTTCTTCTCCCATTCATGATGATAAATAAAATAAAATAATAAAAGACAATACCTGGATCAGTTTGAACTGTCTCACACAGTTCTCCAGTAAAACCGTATGGACATAGACAGTCACAGGTATGGATGACAAAACCCCCGTTCTGGCACTGCTTCAAAGGGTCATTACCACTGGAACCTCGACATGGTCCTAATACAGTGAAACAAGTAGGTAACAATTATAATATCTGCTTTTGATGTGTTAGGAGGATTTTGCATTTTCATACTAATTGTTAGGTATTATTTTACACACTGAATTGTCTACAGATTTTTCCGTTTGCCCGATCATGACAAGGAGCACACGGCGAATGTAACCTGTAAACAGGGGATGCTTACTCCTCAATAGTACCTGAACCCAACTCTGATACATTTTAGAGGTCCGTGTTTGCTCTGCTCCCGATTTGTATTGTTTCAATGGTATTTTGAGCTTGATTACTGTTTCGTTATCTCCATATTTCATAGCATCAGGTCCAAATACATTGACATAATAACAAGTAGGTTACAATTGTATTTTCTGCTTTAGGTGATTTGAGTGAATTTTGCATAAGAGTATTAGGTTTAGGGAAAGTCTTTTCAGCTACTAGACCAATGAAAATTATTTAGATTAAATCTGTCCACCATATTAACCATTCCTGTTTGTATGACCATAACAGAGCCAATGAAACTGCTTGTTGAAATAAAATACTAAATGAAATCTTACTGGTACAATCATAAGCATCTGTAATATCCTGAATGTCATAAAACATCAGTCCGGTGGCTGAATCAGCCAAGAACTCGAGACGACGGTCATGGAACCTCATTACTGCTTCACCATTTGTAGAAAAAGCCTGTTGAAGAAAACAGATACAAATGTTTAAGCTATATTTCTTTAAAAACGTTAAGGTAATCATTAAGGTAGCCAATAGAGCACATTTGAGTATTATAGTAAATTATTAAGCATGTTTTCTTAAAGACTTCCTGACAACTGATGCCATTACTCTGAGATTTCGTTCTTTTTTTTCTTTCATTTACGAGTGATACAAACAATAACGGACCGTTAGACTGTATTGGAGCACGGATTGATAGTCATACGGGTTATAATCGAAGGTGTCGGTTTTCTGCATATTGTTATTGTCCTGACCATTCTGTATATTAGCCCAATACATGGTGACGTGATTATCTCGATCATTCCGGGACTGTTCATGCATTTGTCCTATAGCATGTGCCATTTCATGAACTGTAGTTGACACCTTAAATGTTCAAATAAAAGCATGTTTAAGGAAATAGTTTATATCAAAAGGGGTTTTGAGTTAAACCTCATTTTAAAAGACAATATTGGCATAGGCTAATTGTTATCTGTATCCCTTCCTTTTTTCAAACTGTGTACAAAATTATATATATTTATTATTCTCCTGTGAAGTTGACAGATTATGTTAATTTTTTTTTAAATTTCCTTTGTGGGTTTGACAACCTTTAATGCCCACCTCCTTTCCTTTTTTTTTCCTCTGCAGGAATGTACCTGCCTCGAATGGTTATGTGCAAAACATAATCTAGGACTGTTTTTATAGTTACAATGTCTTACCGAAACGCAACCAGGATCTTCAAGACTGATTTGTTGTTTGTCTGATCCCACTCTTCCAATATAAGACCAACAACCACTAATGATCATAAAAAAGATAACTTTGATTTCGCCAGCTAGTGTGGTAAAGAATTCAATTAATGTCTTTTTTTAAAAAAATTGATAATCATCTCTTTGTTTCCTATTTGTTCGGGGTAAAAAACAAACAATTAATGATCTAATGACTTTATCTCTGACAATCTGACCTGATATTTGAAAATGTCATTACCTTCCAGAAAAGAACTCCACATAATTTGGATAGCTTGCTTGCTGGGCCTCTGCAGAACCATAAGGAACCCACCTCAAACAGGTGTAGTCTGAAAACTGTTTGATTGCGCTATTGATGATGTCTAGGTTTCCTTGAACTGAAGCTGAAGCAAGAAATTAAAGAACAAATAGAATGTGAACTATTCAATTTTCAATGTTGCTTAAATTTACAGGTGTATAGCAAGCATTTTTGAATACACGGAATTAATTATTCAGTTGTTTCACATTTATCTATATGAATTTAACAGTTTTTATGTAAAGGAGTATTAAATAAATAAATCCTAATAAAAATTCTACAAAATAACGTAATAGAATGACAAAACAATCAAATTTGTTCTAAAATAATCGTGAAAAAAACTAAGTTAACTTACACAATGAGCTGGCGATTGTGTAAGGGATTATTTTATCAGTCCAAAGTCTGGCAGATCTCCAAAAATTCCGTTTTCTTCCACTGCTCTATGTATATTCAAATTATAACATTAACTGAAATCGTATTGCATAGTTTCACAATAACTTTGAAAGTACATAGGAGATAATTCTATTTTATGAGTACAGTTTCATTGATTATTATACAACGTATGCAGTGAAAATGAATAATTGCATTTATTACATTTTCATCTATTCTTTTTTTACATTTTTTTTAATACATGTGAAATATGGCCTTATCTTAATCAGTACAGTAATAGGAGTTTAATGCATTATAATATATGTGCATTTCTTTAAATTGAAAAGACTCTCGCTGATATAGTTTTAAAACAAAATAAGAATAAAATATGCTAAAAATTAATTGAAGAAATAAGAAGAATCACATGGGTCATCTAAATTCGATAAATCCACGAAATTTAGATACAAGACCATGCGCCTGGAATTTTTTTACACCGTGATTTACAATTAAGTGTTCCTACTGTCGTGTCTTACCCCGCCCTTTAATTTATCGATCTGTTCTGGTGTCAGCTTATGGCCGTCATGAGTGTCCCCAAAAATCTTTCCTTTCTTGGAAGCAACCTTGTCAATACCATCAGGCTAAATCAATCAAAAGATGAGAGAATCATTTTATCTTTTACTAGCTTCACTGTTTTCTTTCCATTAGTTTTCAATTTTTTTCATAGACAGAAAAGAAATCGATTAAATGCATATTGGCACTTTAACAAGAAAATTTGATAAGCGAAAGATATCAACTTTTGTGCCAAAACGTATTCCCAGACTTACGTGAAGATTGTGCCTATTTCCCTCATCCACAAACATACTCTCTAGTAGGTTTACCACGTCAGAATTAGGATCAACGTTACCCTGCAACAAATAGGAATATCTTTATTGTGTATTTATCATTACAATTCTTATTACATATTTGCCTGTCATACATGTATATACTGCACTAGAAAATTTCGGAGATAATTTGTAATTATAAAAAAGCTAAGCGTTTTTGCTGGATGTTACCTAAATTTCATTAGTATAGTATATTGCACGTCATTCGTTTGTTACTTTTTATTATATATATATATATATATATATATATATATATATATATATATATATATATATATATATATATATATATATATATATATATATATATATATATATATATATATATATATATATATTCAAATGAATTAAAATATGGATGAACAAAAGAATGCCTATAGCATTTTTATGCAAATATATCCAAATGTGTTTACCTTAAGAGCCTCTTCTATGAGTTTTGCACCGTCTTCTGGATTAGTTATGTTGTTGACCTCATTGTTACTGGAACTTCGTTTCTTTTCATATTCATGAATTGCATGGAGTAACAATCTATCGATGTATGCATCATGCCTTGACCCAGTGTGAGGCGTTCTCTGACATAGAAATATTAACTCGCGCTAAAATTTTAATGATTTTTCAATTTTTTGTAAATGATATTTTTGTACAGTAGCATTTTTTTTCTGAGTGATGAACAAACCAGAAATCTCTGAGACTGTAGCTGCTTAAAAAAAGAAAGAAAGGAGCATTCCTAGACTTGAAAATATTAGCTATGAAAAAACAAAAACAAATAAAAATACCATCTATGACGTAATATACATGTACTAGTACTTGTGTACCGATACTAAAAAAGATAATAAATGAAAGCTGTCTATTTGTGTACTAAGTTTTATTGAAAAAGATTTAAACCGTAAGATGAGTAATATTTTCACGGAAATGTCTTTTCAAAATAACCATTCATGGAAATCTAAAACTGTTACACAGAATTATGTTTCTTAGCATATTTTACCAGAGTACCAAATCTTACTGCAATCGAACCAAAACTGTAGGATAAGTATTCTGAAAGAATTTCAAAATATTTTCTTTAATTTATTTTATTTTTAATAAACGTTACTACAATGTTCTTCGACATCAAATACTAATTATGTATCTTAGTATAGTTTACTTGAGTATCAAAATTGGACCAAAACTGTATGAGGTAAAGCGTTTTGAAAGCATTTCACAGAAATTACTATCATTCGTAACCATGACAATATCCTTCCGTGTATGAAAAAAAAATAACATACAGCTATCAATCTAAAAAAAAATCTACAAACAATACAAGTCTGTGAGCAGGACGTAATTCATTTACCCCTGGAAATTCCAGGTGGGATTAGGTGCATAGGAGGAGTACGCATCCTCTGTTGACCGGTAACACCCGCCGTGAGCCCTATGTATCGATCAGGTAGACGGAAAATTCAAATATTCAAATTTAGTATATAAACAAAGGCTTAACAATTGGTAAGGAATATATGTCAAAATATGACCCATAGGTAAAATATTTTTCCAAACAAGGTCATTATAACGACCATAAAATTTACGAAATTCTGAATTTAAATGAGATGGTTGAAGGCCCTGTAACATCAATTAATCTGTCAGTAGCCTACTTAGGATACTCTTAAGTCTTAGTATAGTTTGCTTGTGTACTAAATCGAACTGAAATCGGACCAAAACTGTAGGAGAAACATTTTGCAAAATAAATTGTTTGCATACCGACGGACAGAAAGACAGACAGATGAACGGACGATGAACACCTTGCTACTGCATAAGTTCTTCTGGTGTCTGACCAATAGAGCTAAAAACTTATAAAGTATTTTAAGCCTAGATATATTTAAAGGTATGTGTACAACAAAAGTTTTGTTTTTCAAAATTGTTTAAATTTTAGAAAAAAAAATGTTAAAAGTATTTTATATGTTTTTATCACGGATAACAAAAAATTGTGGTGGGATATTTATGTCTCTTATAACCAAGCTTTTTTCAATTAATTATAAGATATGAAGATATTTACATATATATATATATATATATATATATATATATATATATATATATATATATATATATATATATATATATATATATATATATATAACTTAAATGACATGCAAGAAAGATGTGATCGGATAAAAATTACGAAACCCATAAAATTTCAAATTTACAATGTAGTATACTTTTTTGTTAAATATTAAAATCAATGTTGACATGCAGCTAATTTATTTTGATATGCAATCTTTTAGGTCGACATTTAAATTTATGTTGAAGTGTTAAATTTATCTAAGTTATGCAACAAATCTTTGTTGACACGCAACTTGTCTATGGAAATACGCAACTTATTTATGTTGACATGCAATTTACAAAAGCCATTCCTGCAAGTTTACAAAAGCTGCTTGTAAACAAAAATACGTTTCATGCTGATACCCCATATGCAAGATTCAATTCATTAATGCCATCGTGCAACTTATAAATCATATGTAGGTGATTTTTTAATATTTTATGAAAATTCGTATCCCCTGATATTTTCCTTGCATACCAACTTAGTAATGTAGCAAGTTGATAGGTTTATGCTGCATATTGACAGAATATTTAGAATATCGAAATAATTTTCTTACAAAAATGCATCTAGAGGGCATAAATAGGCAACAATTAGAATTATCAAAGATATTATAGATAGGGAGACTGTGCAATGAAAAAAATATATCTCATGATCGAAATTTATTACTTTCATGTCGTTCATTAATTTTGCCGTCACGGTAGCTCAGTCGGTAGAGCTCTCGCTCCGTGATCGGAAGGTCGTGTGTTCGAATCACGGCCGCGATTGACCTAAGTCGATAAAAATAGCACTGACCCTACGCCAAGCGCTCGGCACTTTGAAGTTAAAGTTGCGGGTCTTTCGAATGAGACCTTAAAAACCGAAGCCCACGGTAGGCGTTGGCACGATAAAGAATGGCTCTGAGTGCCGAGTAAAGGTCTAAATTTCAAGCTCTTCATCGGAATATGTTGACGTCTCTATATGATTTAAAATTTCTCGAACGGGACGAAAAACAACATACAATCAATCAATCAACAATCGTTCACTAATTCATGATTATTAGAAATTCAAATGATGAGTACACGACAATTAGTAACGTATTTCCAACTCGGCATATGGCGCTTCTTATCCTAATACTTCAATGCTTTTGATGCTTTTGATAAGGGAAAACCGGTTTACTACAGGCAGGAATAAAGATGTTCAAACGAGATTCATTACTATTTCTTCCGACTGCAGTTTGGAGTTGATAACACGACTGTCCGTCTCCAACTGATTAATAAATAAGAATTTTGAGTAAAAAAGATTAAACACATGAGATAAAGGGTAAAATCATAAAGATAGACAATTAAATCAACATAACAGTCCAGCATTGTTACTAAAATCACTCGTAAATTCTTGTCGTAGTCAAGGTGTGAAAATTAGTTAAATTACCTAATGAAATTAACTCTGTCGATAATTTGATCAATTAAAAAGGTTCTCATGGAATGTGAGACATTTGGCTAAACAAATAAAAGATAATAAAAAAAAACTTTCATACAAATTATCATAAATAGCAGCAAGAAAAATTCAGAAACAAAACAGAAATGAAAATAATGGTGGACATTTTTAAAAAAAAACTTGGAATTTTTCACCACGACAATTAGCAATAAATCAAAGTTTCATCACAAAATATCAATAAAATCCAGCCAGTTTTTTTTAAATTATGAATTGTTAGTTGCATATCTTTACTTCAAATTTTTTTTTTTAAATTTAATTTTAATTCTCGGATCTTGTCAGATACTTATTCCAAGGTTGTATTTTTTAACAATAAACTTGTAAGTATTCCAATTTTTGGACAATAAGTCTGATAGCTTAGAGTAAGGAAGTGTACTTTAACCTTCCATTGTTGCCTGAAACGTATATGAGCTTTTCAAAATCATTTTCTGTGACATTGTGACTTTAAATAGAAAGGTAGATTCCGTTAAAGGGACTCTAATTTTCAGCATTTAAACACGATTTCAAGTAAAGAAAGTTCCTTTTATGTAAACAAAGTGTCTTACTTTGTCAAAGGTTAATGTTCTTGGTTTATGATTTTTTATTTTCAATTAAGCTTAATTTCAATCTTTAATGTGTTTCAGTTGAACTGATTACTCACATATATAAATACTATAAAATGCATTTAGGTGTGCTTTGAAACAGGATCTTGACTTTTTTTTTTCATAATTATTAAAACATATTATTGCCATTGTCCATATTTGAAAGAAGTTCAGTATACAAATAACAATTTTTATATAAAAATTTTCAATATATATCATTGTTAAATTTAATGAAAGAACACGTATTTTGACATTTTTTTTTTCGATTTTTGTTTAAAAAATTCAAAATGCCTAATATGCGGTTACGAGATGTATCTTTAGAACACAGAAAGCTTAATTTAAAAACTAAGAACTACTGTAAAACTGCGTGATTAATAAAACAACTAATATATAATTATCTATGATTTATTTCTACACATACATTTTCTATTTTTTATTCACGAATAAATTCACTGTGTGCAGAAATATGGATTGATGTAAGAAATAAAATCCCCGGGTATTTATCTGTGTCCTTTAAATACAAATAAGGCCGTTTGCTTGCACAAAATAAAAGTCAATTGTTTTTCTGGGGTGTCAGAGTAGCCATGATTGACAAGAGATAATAGCAGAACAAGTTTTAAGTTTGTGAGTTGTGACGGTACATATTGTCGGCGGCGGCAGTATGTATCTTCGCTCACTGCAATCCTACATGTTCATCACACGATCCTTGTATGAAAGTCGCACGTTTTTTTTACTGTTTTTGCGTGACAGTTGCACGTTTCTCGCACGCTTCTCGCACGCTAGCTACACGGTTTGCACGAAACACTGTGAAGTCTACACAAAATGGAGCACGGTTTACTCGAAACGCTACACGATTACACGATTTGCACGATAAAGCGCACGAAAGTTTTTTTGAAAGCAGCACGTTTTAGGTGTGTATTGTATATATATATATATATATATATATATATATATATATATATATATATATATATATATATATATATATATATATATATATATAAAGTCTCAGTGGTCGGAATTAAATACTTAAAATAAAGAAGAAAAACACGAAAAAAAACTTCAGTAAAACGTAAGGCCTTTCATTCTATCTTCAGAAGCGTTACGAAATGATTTGTAAAGCTTTTGATGAAAGAATTAAAAGCCTAAAACTTTACTGAGGTTTTTCGTGTTTTTCTTCTTTATTTTAAGTATTATATATATATATATATATATATATATATATATATATATATATATATATATATATATATATATATATATATATATATATATATATATAATCTAATAATTAATTATTTCTTTAATTTTTAAGGAAACAGATAAAAGAAAAAAAAGCAGAGTTTAAAACAAAACATCCTATATAGAAGTTTTAAAAGAATTTTTCCTCATTCAATTTTCGTCTCAAAGTCGCAATCAAAAATGCATTCATTTAAAATACTCATATATTAAGTTATTTCATTTGAAGAGTGTCCGA